CTCTCCAGGCCCCTGCCACACCAAGCATCGTGCATCCGTCGCATGTACCCACGAGACTGGACACCTCCAGGCGTCGCAATTGCGTAGCACTCAGCCAACACTCTCACTTCCTCCTCCGACCAGCGCTTTCTCCGGGCCCCCTGGCCCCCATTTCCATCCATTATTGAAATAAGTATTACAATGAACAAAACGTTCAATTTCCTGAGCGGACGAGCCATTGAGCAACGCTAAGGAAACTCTGCTCATCAGAGCTCAGAAAGTGCAACCGTTCACATCGTTAGGAAAAATATATTATTATTATTATTATTATTATTATTATTATTATTATTATTATTATTATTATACGCATTCCCGATTTGAAGTGAAGCAGCAGTATGCTGCGTCCACAGCTTCGCACATGCAGAATGGTTTGGGTGAGAGGAGAGGGGAGAGAAAGCAACAAGGCAACCAACATCTATGAAATAGGTCGCAAGAACATGAAGAGAACCAACCGACATATGCATGATTGCACAAGAATGGAGACGACAAATGGCTATAATCATTGTGCCACAAAACCGGTACACAGGAGACCTGTCGACAATGTAACGAAACATAAAACTCAGCTACTCAATACAGGTTCCACTAAATTAAAAGAGAACAACGCTACAACATAAGAATTGCCGCTAAATTATCGCAAGAACGAGTCCAATACAATGTACAAATGAAAACCATGAACAGACTGTCCCGAAGTCATTTTGGAAACAAATTGTACTACATGTACTTGCTGACACTGACGCTGACGGAGTACGAATAATATTATTAGAGTTGAATGCACACGAAGTCTTGTACATGTACATCATTATGCGCCGGTGTTGTGGAGTAAGCAGGTACGTCAGTCACCAAACCAGCTTCAGCTCCGAGCTCGCTTCAGCAGAATGTTGACCGCGTTTGCTTTGCCTCCACACGGATAGACGACCAGCGCAGAGTCCCGCATCTCCGTGGCCGTAAGGTCTTGATATTCGCCGTTAGTGGCCTCAAGTCTCAGTCCACCTCTCACAGCAAGCCGCCCAGTGAAAACCTTTCTCTCTCCATTGGAGTGCTCCCCAGTTGCGCGAGGAGACTAGAGAAATTCCTCCGGTGAGCGAGGAAGAAGAGCGGAGTTACCCAACTCAACCAAACAAATTCCTCCGATCACCCGATTTAGCGCTAAATTTATTTATGCTTGTGGCATTATGTGTTTTAGCATACGGCAGGGTAGATCCTAGTGTCCGTTGTCTCTGATGATTGCCTAGCGGCATGAAACTCAGAGTTACAACTCGGCTGAGTCTGCTGTGTACTAAGCTCAGCCTCTGACATTGAGCACTCTCTGCAGCTCCGGGGATCAACGGATTTATCTAGCAACTAGTAAATCAATTACATGTATATTTGGTGAAAAAGGAAAAGGAAAAAAATGTTACGAGTTATGACAAACTGTTCACCAACGCACACAGATCATGCACAGTCAGCGAGTGCGACAAAATGGCATAAACCTTACCTGGACCTTTCCGAACCTGAGCCTTCCAAGTTGGAAGGTTGTTGGTTTGTGCCTTGGAGAAATGTTAGAGCTAGGTGTCAGGTCGCCGAATGTCTCAGTACTCCTTGTCAGTTTTTTTTGCCATTTTGTCGCACTCGCTGATTATTCACAGAACGACAGTTCACTGAATGACATTTCACAGACTACCTTTTTGACAGACAGCCCATTTCACAGGATACCCAATTCACCGAAAGACAGTTCACAGAGCACTGTTTTCACCGACAGCCCATTTCACCGAATTTGAGCAGGCATGCACTCAAAAATGCATTGTTTCGAAAGAAAGTAAAATATGAAGGATATGAGAGTATGCACGTGTGACATGGTCATTTACTATACACAACATTGAACGCCAAATTATGCGCTACTCCACGGAGGAACTCTCTTGGTGGTCGCTGCTCGACCGCCTATTCGACAACATTGAACGCCATATTATGTGCTACTCCACGGGGGAACTCTCTTGGTGGTCGCTGCTCGACGGACTGTAGCAGAGCCCTCAGCCGTTCATCACATTGCTGATATCTCTTCTTCCCCTTAGGACCAGAGTGTCCTGCCACAAGCCGCTCAAGCTCGTTCCGTGGTGGCCTGTTCCATTTTCAAACACTCGATAACCTTCCAAATAGTCGGATGGTGGCAGGTGACTATCGATGCAAACCGACGATGCCATCCTTCTTGGTAGGGTCCAGCGGATAATGCCGGCATTATATTCGGCATTATACGACTATCCGAGCATCAGAGCATTATGGAGCATTAGAAAGGAACAAAACGAGCATTATGTGAGGTTTGAGCGGCATAACGAGTTTCATAGTGGATAATATCGGGAAATCCCCGGTTTTTGGCAACAATCGGCCACAATCATGATCATGAGATGTTGTCTGATGATTGGTTTTCGCCATGAAACTCTGAGTAACAACGAAACAGCCCTATTTTTCTCCTTTTGTGTACCTCTTACGTACTACGCTCCGCCCATTCCGGGCATTTGAGCACTATGCATTGTACCGGCGCATGACTTTGTGATTGTGTAGACACGTAACACCTTTAGCACTAACGCTACATAACTATTGCTACATAAAAACGTTATGATTGTAGCGTTGTGGTCAGGTAAATGACTATGTATACTATAAGCCATTTGTGAAGCATGGCCAACCGAGGCCGAGGCAGTTCAAGTGACAGAAATCCGGAGAAATTATTTACGAGGTTTCTTTTACTTTTAGAATAATGGAGAGCTATGGAGGAGACATACCCGAAGTGAATATCAAACAGACGAAGAAGAGTTTTCTAGTTGTGCCAGAGGCTCTGGCGATAGCATCTCTAGCGATACTGAAGTAGACACTGATGCATTGCTAAATTTTGACCAGGATGGAGCGGCTATAAACAGAAAGAGCTCGTTCCAAAAGAACTGCCTTTGCCGAGTCCAGCTCAGGCGGCTCGAACAGAACTAGAATTTCTCATGGACTCAGTACCAAGTCGATTGCTCAGCAGCGATTGTCTTACTTTCCTGATGAAGCACGTACAGTTAGTTGTGGACGGCTGTAATGCCAGGCCTACAGTCAAATGCTATCAGAAAGGAAGAGTATTGTGGCAAGCCATACGTCTACACACCATCTCAAGGAGATGAGAGCACAAGCAAAGGATGTAGAGTGGCAAAATAACTTCTGCCCAAGTGTTTTCAGGATTTCCGCAAATGGGAGGGCTCTCCATCTGAGATCGGATCTCAGGAGCTGGCCTCACGTCTGGTGTTTCAGATGAAGACATTATTCACAGAGTGGACGCAGTGACAGCTTGTCTGCGGCCAGGAATACTCAGATTTGCCAAGATTAACTTCATCCCAACAATGAATGACTACCTGCAATAATGGTTTCATCTCTTACTACATGGATAATTAGGGGAGATATTTGATACATCGACTATTCTGCCACAACCCTGCATCAAAGTTGGAATGGAGAGCAATCAATGGAGAAGCGATCATGTCTTATAGTGCTAAGAAGCAGTGGAGCGCATGAGAGATAAGGTGGCAACTAAGGAATCCAGATCGACGATATGCACAATTTCCTGGAAGTTTGACAATGAGCAGACTTTTTTTTCCATTTTTGTCCCAAACCAAGAGCATTATATCCATTGCTGAAGCATTATAATCAGCATTATAAGGCAGTTTTTGGAGCATTATGGTTAGCATTGTACGAACATTTTCGGAGCATTATCCGCTGGACCCTACTTCTTGGGCGTTGTTTGTGCGGTCCTCTCCCATCAGAGTGCGGTCGTGTACGTTCCACAGCGCAATCGGGAACAGTGGTGTCCGCCGTTGCCCATTTGGGCGGAGCGTTCCAATGTACGAATGCTCGAAGTAGGCGAGGATCGCCTCGGCGTCGTTGGGGAAATCATCCTCCACCGCTTCAAAGTAAGTGGCCACGTCCCCAGTTGGTACAAAAGCCAACGCTGGCAGCATTCGCAGGGCCACTGCAAATTATGAATCCTATTCGTAGCGCTCTTGGAATCCGTTTGACTGGACACGACGATAAATGTTCTGGGTGAGATGAAAGAAGCAGCCTGTGCACTTAATTCCGGGGAATTTCAGTCTAAATGCGTTGATGGCACCTAGCTCAAAATCTGTAACTAGAGTGGACGGCTGCAAAGCGTCCGTTCTGTCGAGGAGAACTTGGAATAGTTGCTCATACATTGCCTCCGTCTTGTTCGGTAGAATCGCGTAGACGACAGATAATATGCATCCATCCACACGAACGCACAGAGTAGAGCTTATACAACAGCAGGGGAATCGTCTTAAAGGTTCCATCCGCATACCAGGAATCGTTCCTCCGTGGAGTAGCGCATAATTTGGCGTTCAATGTTGTGTATGGTAAATACATGTAACCTCATGTTCTTCATGTTGCTTTCTTTCATTTTTGAGTGCATGCCTGATCAAATTCGGTGAAATTCGGTGAAATGGGCTGTCGATGACAACAGTGCTAGGTGAACTGTCTTTCGGTGAATTGGGTATCCTGTGAAATGGGCTGTCCGTCAAAAAGGTAGTGTGTGAAATGTCACTCAGTGAACTGTCGTTCGGTGAACTGTCGTTCTGTGAACTGGGTTTCTGTGAACTGTCGGGACACCCTGTAGTTCGCGAACTGAAAAATGTTTGCGAACGTCGTCTTGCTAGTCTTGATCCGGATATCCTCCGTATTTTATTGGCCGAATAGTAGACCCAGCTAGCTAGCTCCCCAGCCAGGCCCACCATTTGAAAGTATTTTTACCGGCAAAAAACGCGTGGAAGAACTCGACTCGATCGAGTCGTGTTACTTTTGACGTCATCATTTCCAAGCACTAGCCGCATCGGCCCGCATGCACTCGACACTCGTAGAGTCGTAGTACTAGATTCGCGATCGCGCTATACTATAGCGCTAGCGCCGGCGACTTCGATTTTATATGCACAGCGCAAAAAAATACTGGAAAAGCGCAAGAACGACAACAGTCACAACAACTAACTAATTCCTTCGTTACCTCGTCAGATTTTGTTGCTTTCTCCTTTGGACGGGCAGTTTGATTGAGCTAATCCCAAGCGAGCTCTGGAAGGAGCTGAGGCGGGAAGATGCTACTTGCTCACAGGCTGGCCTCGGCGAGAGCTTGCCTGGCTGGAAGATGTAAGAGAGATTACGGAACCATCGTTTCCTGTGGATCGACTTAGTCAGTTAGTGACTGCTGCTCGTGCTTGCGTATGTGCGTGTACGTTTGTGCATGTGCACGCGTACGTTCTGTGCGTGCGTGTGTGCGTATGCGTGTGCACGCGACGTTCTGTGCATGCGTGTGTGCCGTTTCCAATTGCAGCACCGTTGATTGTCCGTACTTGCGTGACTTATGTGCCGAGCAAGAAACCTTTCGTCTACTACGTTGAAAAGGACGGGCAACAGGTTCCTCTGGACTTAGAAAGCCCAGATGCACCGCAGTGGCACGACAACAACGACGATTTCTGGAGAAAAGCAGATTTGTTTGTGCAAGACCAGCCAGAGGTGCATCCGCCGTATCATCACATGGTATGCCAAACACGTTACTACTAGTAATAGTATGCTGCTGTTGCTGCAGCTGCTGCTGCTGCTGTTGCTGCTGCTGCTGCAGCTGCTGTTGCTGCTGCTGCTTCTGATGCTGCTGATTCTGCTGCTGATGCTGGAGGTGCATCCGACGTATCCTCACATGGTATGCCAAACACGTTACTATGCTGCTGCTGCTGCTGCTGCTGCTTTTGGTGACCTGCTTCCGTCGCCCCTGCCTTGCCTACAAGTGCATGCAAACAACAAAACATGTGTATCTGCTATAGTCAAGCAATGACGTCTCCCATTACCAGTCCTGGAGATGTCCTAGATAGAACATCATAGACTGACCCAGCATACATGATAACATCTATGCTGTTCCCATAGTATTCGTGACGCGTGACTCAAAACTTTGTGTCGCGTCCGAGGAAGATGAACATGTCGCACTCAAAACAAACGCAGCGAAGGCCTTTCGTCTCAAAAGTTGTCGTTCTCCTGGCGGCTTGCCTCAAGCGAGTCGAGATTCGTATCTTGCCTCTTGCCTTCACGAATTTTATTTTCCTCGTTGTGGAATGAACGCACGGGGCGTGAAGAAACATTCCAAAGGCAAAACATTCAAAATTGAACCAATGGTTTGCAATGGCTACGAGAAACCCTACATGAAATCCCCAAGCGAAAAAGGCCATTCGGTCGGGTATTCGATGGCAAATCGAATATGTACTACCTCAATGCCCGCCTATCCCCTCAAACGTGACCAATTCAGAAAGAAATCCATCGCCATTACGATCGTGCATCCTCCACATACATTCAGAAATGCTCACGCAGCACTTTTCATCGCGTGTGCGCGACCGGTGCTTCCATGACAACTCTGGGACAGGTGACCAATCAGAGCGCGATGTCCTAGATAGGACATCTCCCCGACTGGTTACCTCATGTGTGCGAAGAAAGCTCTTCTGACTTCCGGGAAATTCAGCTGGGGTTGGGTTAATGATAGTTGTTGAGAGTCATGTAAAACCGGAAATTTGGTGGCGATTTATTTTCGGTAACTTTGGTGCAGGTAATTGGTACGTGAAATAAAGCGTTACCTAAAACTCAACAAGCTCATGCCATACACATCGTGCCATACATTGTGCATAATGCATATTTGGTTCCGGAAAACTGGTTCGCCTAAATTTTCGCGCTGCCGAACCGTTGATTTTGGGAAATACCGAAAACATTTCACCACCGAAAATTCCCGGTTTTTACGGTGTTAAGGTGCCAGCTGGATGGGTGATTTGCGTGCCATCCTCACCTTGTACTACCTGTTCAAACAGTGTGTCTCACACATGCAGCAGTCATAATGTGAAGTGCAGATTCTCACACCTTGGGATCAGTGTAGGTTTTTAGGTTTTTTTGGGGGGGGGGGGGTGCCGTGGCAATCTATATGTGAAGTGCAGATTCTCACACCTTGGCATAAGTGTAGGCTTTTAGGTTTTTTGTTTTTTTGGTGGGGGGGGGGGGGAGGATGCTGTGGCGTACACCAATCGTGACGCGTGCTCGATTTGACTGTTGTTCCGCTTTTCAGAAATGGGCACTTGGACTTCTCGGCTTCGGCAGTCTGTTCTACTTCGTTTTCCTCCGTAAGTAGTTTTGTACCCGCTAATATAGGTTGGTGGACTCGATCGCATAACTTGTGCTCACAAGTTCCATGTTACAATTAATATTTTCCTTAGCTCACCATCTGAGTTCATATAGGTTTCTTCACATTTGCACCTTCTTGTCATTCTCCTCTGCGCTGTTTGGAATTTCACTCCTGAGACCTGCAAATCTGTATTAAATGATCTGACAGCTTTTTGGGCTGTGTGTCTTCACGTGTGTGTGTGGGTATGTGTGTGCGCATGCGTGTGAATGTGTGTGTGTGTGTGTGTGTGTGTGTGTGTGTGTGTGTGTGTGTGTGTGTGCGTGTTTTATGTGTGCGCACATGTGTGTGTGTGTGTGTGTGTGTGTGTGTTGCCGTCCCTGCACATGTGCTCCTTGCTTGATGGCGATTCCTTTGCAGAGGACGGCAGCGCAGGGCGGGTAAGATCTAACTGTACATGAGAGCATACATTGGAACCCTTATAAGACATAATCCCATGGGCAGCAGGACAGAGTACTTAGCATACTAAGCGTGGTGCATTTCATCCCAAGATACTTCTCAGGGGCGTCGGAAGGTAATTTAGTGTGGTACGGTCAGCCATCTGAAGTACAAGTTACTCTTGGTGGAGGGGTTGCTGAGCCGAAAATTTTGGAATTTAGAGCCCAGATCAGTGTATTTTGTTGATTCACAGGGTGTCTGGGGCGAAAAGTGGTGAGGTGAATACCGTAGTGATCGTACCGTGTCCGACGCCCCTGCTTCTGCATGGATCAATACGCCCGTGCTCCGGGCAATGTCCACACATGTACTACAGTCCGTTCAGAAAAAGATGAGCGCTGGCACTGGCGAGCTCCCGTATTTGGTGATTTTTCGTGATTTTATCGTACACGGCGCAGTGCCGCGAAATTTGAAACTTGATAAAGGGTCCGAAAGGGTACCTCAACCGGGGTTCGAACCGCGCAATGTACTGTTGCAAGTGGAGTGAAACGGCCTGGATTTCCATGGTTTCCCCTAAATTAGAGCTTTCGGTGCAAAACCTGGCCAAAATCAGATTCTTCTTATGGCTTGCTCTTTGAAGAAATTGACTTCAGAAACATAATCGGAAGAGCATTGCATGGGGGATTGCAAAAAAGAAATTGTGAAAAAACTCAAAATTTGACCCACTTATGGCCAAAGCTAGGATATTATCCCTAAGTTCTATGAATGGACTATAGGCAAGAGCATGTCCCATTAGTTAGAGTACTTCGGGTATGTGCTAGTCTTGTTCCTCTGTATTTAATATTCAACATCTCGTCACACGAATAACTTGCGTGTTCAGTCTGAGTTGGAATCCGTCCTGGCTGACCATTTGGACACTTGAATAGAAGTAAGAAGAGAGGACCAAAGGTTTACAAGTTATCCGATTTTTGACCAGCAGGAACGATTATACTTGATCCGCGTCATCAAAATTGTCGTTTATCTTTCAGCTTGGTTTTTATGTCGCCAATGCTCACTTGGCAGCCCATTTCATCCCACTTTTGGTTAGTAAGTTAGTTTACCTTTAAGGTAGCAGTCTACCCAGAATGGTACCTGCCGTAGGCTATCCGGTATATCTCCAGAACGCATCATTAGAATTGCTTCAAATTTTCAACATAGCATCATCATGTTACTAGGCCGATGTCAGAAAACAAATACTGGCAATAAATCAAACCAAAAGTGAGATTAGAGAAAGATTTGAGAAAATGCGGTGCGCAAAACACGGACCATGAAGTCTATGCAGCATAACTTTAGTTTGTACACCAGAAAGCCACCCCCCGGGGACAAAATGTGGTACGACCGTGGACGTACTGGTGGTACCGTGTGCGACACCCCTGCATGTCCACTTGTTGCTGTTGTTTGTGCATCTTCATTATTGAGTCATTGGTGCACCTCCACTAGACAATTTGTAATGGTACGCATGGCGTTTGGATTTCTTCTGTACCATGCAGGCATGGTGCGATGGTTGGACGAATCAAGACAAGTACCTGATGTTTGGCATGGACCCTGGCGAATATCTCACCAAGGAGGATAGAGAAGTGATTGCCAAGCGACGCGAGATCGCACGAAAACTGGTGCGTATCGTTGCACGGCAGTGTAGTGTTCTGAACTATCTTTGCTTGAAATTTGAGAAGCCAGGTTGATAGTGAAGCATCCTCCCCTGTCCTTTTAAGACTGATAATAACCCAAAGATAAAATGCTTAGTTGGTTGTCTCTATTCGATCAAGGTGTTTTCACGGGAATCTCTTGGCAGTTGGCATGTGGCTCACTGTGCCTGTCAGCTGTTTCCTACATGTAGCTTGCTTCGCATGCACAAGTATCTGTTTTTTGG